TAATCATAGGCTATGCTTACGCCGATCTATTTGAAGGGCGCCGCTTGCTTCGTGAGTACGAAAACGTCCTATTGAGCATGTGCAAATATTTTTTTTTTCTGTAGCGCGCACTTGGTGAAGTTTCAAGATGGCAGACGAAGACACTTTGCGTCTCGGTGGCACTTTCACAAGCTATGAAAAATTGTCAGAAGCTGTATCGAATTGGGAGAAAGAAAATCACATACATTTATATAAACGATCTTCACGTAGCATCGATTCTGCCAAAAAACGTGCTTCTAAAAGAAACTTCAACCCCGAATTAAAATTCTATTCAGTCGATTACGCCTGCATTCATGGTTCTCACCATGTTAATAATCAGAGCTAAGTTAGTACAGCCCATATTTCGTGGTACAGTTGTTGCACATCGAATCATTTAGTTAGTAGAGAAAAAGAAAGTTATTTTTCAAGAGAGTTTCCTTTCAAACATTTCAGTTGTTAAAAACCTTGGTGCTTAAACCGAAATATACTACAGTGTTTTTGTATATTAATAACAAAATTGGATTGAAACTGTGTCACACTCTCTTGTAATTATTGTATGCGTACTTGTTCATAATAGGAAAATTAAAAATTTTATAGGGACACGGATCAAGAGATGTTGGAAAGGTCGGGGTGAGGGATCGAGATAAGAGCACCCTAGGGGAAATTTTTGATTTCGCTTTTTAATTATGTACTGTAGTGTACAGGACAATGATTTAAAATCAGAATATCACTGCAGCAGGCAGGTCATCTCCAACATTCTACACATCATACATAGATACATTGTCATTATTATTTCAGATATAGTATTGTATCAATAATAACATAAATTGGGCTAGATAGGCCTATCTAACAATGCAATACTGTATCACAATGAACAGACGGCACTCATGAGGAAAGTAGAGCTTGGCACAGGTCAAATATTTTTACACAAGGATGATATGGAGTACTTGAGTAAAGTGAATTAAGGCAGGCTAAATAGGCAAGTGCTACAGAAACTAGGTAAGCTAGAATTGGGTCCTCTCGTGTGGGAATGTACTAATATGTCTGCCTCAGTTCATGACGATGCCTGTTCTTTTGGAAAACTGTGGCCTAGACAAAGCTCATGCCTCGACAACGTGAAATAGTAAGCAGATCAACGAGTTGACTATTTACGTTGACTAGCAATCCGACGTAAGCATAGCCACTATATAATGCTTACACCAGCTGTGCATGCTCAAGAGATCGGCGTAAGCATATAGCCTATGACTAATGCTTACGACTCGGCGTAAGCATAGACACTTCGTAAATACTACATTATTTACTAGATTTACTGCTCAGTGCAGCTAACTGGTTATTGGTATTGATGTTATCAGTTGAAAACTAGCCTTGGCAAAGGATTAAAAAGAAAGGTCCAGGGAGGAATTTTTACAGATTGACCACTTAAGCTCCACCATGGTAACTTTGAAAATATTGATAATTTATTAATAAATTTTAATCATACAGGTAATAGAATGTGTCATCTGCTCTGATATTTTTAATTACTTCTTCAAGGCCTAAAACATTTTTAATAGTATTTAGATATTTACATTGATAATAATCATAATAATAATAATAATAATAATAATGTATTAATTCATTTATTTATTCATTCACTCATTAATTAATTAATTCATTAATTAATTCATTCATTTTTTCATTCATTCATTCATTTATTCAATCATTTTCATTTATTCATTTTATTTGATTTATTCATTCATTTATTCATTCATCTTCAATCATTCATTTTTATTCATTTATTCATTCATATTTTCATTCATTTATTTTCATTCATTTTATTAATTATGGTTATAAAACACATGTGTATTTTTGGATTGAAACTAAAAACAATAATTTTTTTTTGAACAGTGGCAGATTTAAAGGGGGCCCAGCTGGCTGGTCTTCACCTAAAGTTTTCAAAATAATTTTAAAAAATGGAGAAAAAAGGAATATTATACAAGGATAAAAGGATACAATAATA